TACACTTACTATGTAAATGAAATGGTTGTATGTTTCTTGCTTTTACTATTATACAATTGTGATGATACTGTGCACTACGTCATCCACCCCGAAACGTATTCCGCCGTTATCGGTTTTGGGGTGTGACAGATTGGTATTAGAGCATTGTTTATAGTGAATCAAGTATATCAACCTATAAAAGATATACGAACTATAAACACTTCGGGACTAAAACACTCTGACCAAGAATATATACTGTTAAGTATCTAAAAGATTTAACTAAGTATATATATACACACATCACTATAAAACACAGAAGTCAGTATCATCCTAGAACAAAACAAAAGTATTAAGATTGTTGGATAGCACAATTGGGTTTAGAGACATATAGTCACATTTAGGGGGATGTATCCTGATCAACTACGTTTCCTGGGAGTGACTAGCATGTGCCTAAGCTTGGTTGTGGTGTTACAACAAGTCTAAAACTTACCAACACTACCACAATAACATTAACATTAGAATACTATAGGAGTATTCTGTACCTCTAAAAACATACATCTGTGAAAAAAAAAAAACTAAAAAGGGTCGTTACTGATGGAGCAATAGTTGCTAAATGGATACTTTCCGGTTACATGTGACTAGGGCATTATAGACTTAGAATCTGTGATCTTTGCTTTACTTCCTGTTCCTTGTTTGGTTGTGGATTTAGAGTTAGGGTCACTTATTCGACGGACTATCCTGCCCCAATCACATGTAATTAGTATGCATTATGCAAGTATTGGTCCTACTCGTGATGACCATCTTATAAATAATTTAGGTTAGTACGCCTATTAATTCTTCTTTTCCCCTTTTTCTCGCATAGATACCATGGCTAGCTTCCACCCTCCTGGCGACCCGTACTACCCAAACCAAGGTAATGGGGGATGGCTCAGTGAAGAGTCGGACGATGATCACCCAATCCCCTTTGGATGATCACCGAGCAGAAGGCTTTCCGGATAACTCCGACTCCGAGCCAGAAGTTAATAAACTACCACCTGGAGTTTCGAACCCCAACCCCCGTCCGACATTTCAGGGCCCCACTCCTATGTGGGCCATATCCTTGCACAGATGGAGCGAAGAGCAGGGTGAGCCCATGCCATACAATGGAGACCGAAGTTTCTACAACATAAACGAAGGAGGATCAGCAGATCAGGTTCTGCCCATCATGATCCGAAGAATTTCCAGGAATGTCGAGCAAGGTCAAGCTGCAATAGGTCAAGTTGTAGAAGTGGATGCCAACTCAAATCTCAACACAGTTCGCATCCGCCAACTCGAAGAAGCCATGGACAGGACAAGGAGAACCAATGAGGCTCTGCAGCACCAGCTGGATGCATCCCGAGCCGAAGTTGGAGAACTCCGTGCACGCCAAAGGACTCATGATCGACACCTTCAAGAAGTTATGTGTCAGCTAGCAGATCTAAGGATTAAGGATTCGCCCAACAAGCAATCGTCGCCAGTAAAAGACGTCTAGTTACTGCAATCTTTTGTTTAATGGATTAACCTTTTCACTCTATGTTCCGTAGATCTATTATCTGTAAACATTCCTAGCTTGAAAGCACTCTAGTTAAACCTCTAAACTGCCAACATTTTCTCTATGGTATGATGTAAGACCTATTGCTAGGTCAAATTTTCATGAACTTGTGTTGCATCATTAATACCAATATTTGGCAGTTGATTTCTCTATTGTTATAACTCTCATCTTGATCTTGGATTATGTTGATTTAATCCACGAAACACTCTATTTATATTCGCAATAGGCTCTTACTATTGCTATCATTTCTATAATTCTTCCAGTAAAGGATGCCTCCACGAAAGTGTCCCACCAGAGGAAGACCTGCAACTCAAACCCCTACTCCACCACCTCCTCCTCCACAGATCGATCAGGTGCAATTCCAAACAGCGGTGACTGCGGCCGTGACAGCAGCCATGGCCCAAATGAATTCTGGGGATGTGAGCGGTTGGTAACTCCTGGTTCGGTGAAGTCCATCATCGGGTGCAGGGATGTACTTATAAGGATTTCATGAACTGTAAACCTACCTTCTTCGATGGTACCGGAGGAATTCTAGCATTATCCCAATGGTTCGAAAGAACCGAAGCGGTGTTCTATATGTGCTCTTGTCCCGAAGAGAGCAAAATCAAGTTCGCTACTGCTACCCTCACTAACAGGGCCTTGACATGGTGGAACGGCCATGTTAGTTCACTCTCCTTGGTCACAGCCAATGCTATGGGCTGGGACACTCTGAAAGATCTTATGAGGGGGAGAGTACTGCCCTAGGGGTGAAGTTCAGAAACTTGAGGAAGAACTCTGGAACCTCAAGATGAAGGGGACTGACATAACGGCTTATACGGCCAGGTTTTGCGATTTGGCGGCTATGTGCCCCAACATGATCCCCTCGGAAAGCAAGAAGATTGAACGGTACATCTGGGGTTTAGTGCCTCCGTATCGAGGAAATGTTCTAGCTTCACGCCCTACAACTTTTGACAGCGCCAAGGAATTGGCCCAGAGTCTGATCAACCACGAAATCCCCTCTACTCCAGCAACAACAACCATAACAACCGCTGCATCACCCGCTTCATCTGACAGAAAAAAGGAAGCGTTGGGATAAGAAGAAGGGCAAGAAAACTCAAAACTCCTCAAAGGACCAGCAAATTGTGGCGGTCCATGCTGCCACCACCCCGACTACTCCAGCTGCTCCAGCCCCGCCGAAAGCTTACAGTGGAAACTTGCCCAAGTGTCCAAAGTGTCCTTTCCACCACAACATCCCCTGCCGTGAACTGCAGTGTTCCAACTGCGGTCGAAAGGGCCATAC